TGACTTTTAACCATTGAGTTCCTTTTTAAAAAAAAATCTTTTAAAATCTCATTACTATTGTCAGTGAAAAGAGTTGAACTCTAAAATATTTGAAGAGATTTATTCTGAGCCAAATATGAGTGATTATGGCCCATGACACAGCCCACAGGAGGTCCTGAGAACATGTGCCCAAGGTGGTCAGGGCGCAGCTTGGTTTTACACATTTTAGAGAAGCATGAGACATCAATTAAATACATTTAAGAAATACATTGGTTTGGTCCAGAAAGGTGGGACAACTCAAAACTAGGTGGGTGTGGGGGGGCTTACAGGCTGTAGGCCAATTTAAACATTTTCTGGTTGATAATTGGTTGAGTTTGCCTAAAGACATGGGATTCATAGAAAGGGAATGTTTGGATTAAGATAAAGATTGCGGAGACCAAAGTTCTTTTGAAGTCTTAATAGTGGCGGCCCTTAGAGACAATAGATGACAAATGTTTCCTATTCAGATCTTAGTTAATCGCTTTAGGATCTGGAGGATCTGGAAGAAAAAGATCTAGCTATGTTAACAGAGATTCTTTAAAGATGCAAATTCTCCCCTACAAAGAACCGCTTTGCAGGGCCATTTCAAGATATGGCAAAGAAACGTGTTTTAGGGTAAAATAATTTTGCTTTTCTTCCTTGTCTCAAAATGTTACGTCAGAGTCAGGTTGGAAAATAAATCACGATATATAGGCTTAAATAAAACCCTTATGATGAGAATTTATGATTTGTAGGACATGACTCCGCAGACACTTTAAACAGGAATTTGGGCAAGATAAAAAAATCAGTTTAGTCCTCACTATATTTCAGCTAGGACAAATTGCTGCTATTTCAGAAGTACCAAGTATCAAACCAGAACGGGCTTGATTTAGGAACCAAACCCAGGGCTGTTTTGGTAGGAAACAAAGAAAAAAGGCACAACCTTAGCTATCAGGTGGGACCTTAGCAGTGTGGGAGGACAGCCATTGCTTTCAGTTTGGCCTGGCTAACAAAAAGGTGGCTTTATGTAAATAAAGTCCCTTTAGTAGTCAAAATCAAAAATCTTTCCTCTTTTTTTTTTCCTTTTTCCTCCCCTCCACACCACCTTTTTTTTTTTTTTTTTTAGAATTTAGTGACTTCTCAGGCCTTCTTCCCCACAATTTGGAACTTTCCTTTGGATTTGATCAAGTTGGATAGAGTTGATCAAACCCAATGGGAAAAAGACCAAAACAACAATAAAAAACAGAAATAAACAACAACAAAAAAAAAACAATTAAGCAAAACAAACAATGGCACAATTTATATGATCACTGAGTGCTCTAATGGTAACGAGAAATTAAGACCAGTTGGTTGTTAATCTTAACTTTAACCAAGACAAACCCCAATTCAGTTACTTACCTAGGGACAAGTCTCAGGCTATAGACTGCTCTCTACCATTCAAGAAGCAGGAAAACAACAACAACAACAACAACAAAATAAAAAATAAAATACAAAAAAAAAAAAACTACTCCTCTTCCCTGTTGGAAGTGAGCCAAACTCCATAAAGGAGTCACCTGCCTTCCAATGTCATAGAAACAGGAAAGGTGTCTTTCTTGATGGAAGCAAGTAAAACTCCAAAAAAGAGGAGTTGTACAGCAAAATAAAATTTAGATCTTGACCAAATTCGGGGAAATCTCTGGAGGGGATGCTCTCAGACTTCAGCAAATTGTCCTATTGGTTTGAGTCATAAAATTAGCTCATGCTGGTACCAAGCCCTGATAGGAGATTTGTCAAAGGTCAGGGACATCTCCACTCAGAATCCCTCTGTGGTTACCAAAATTTGAACCCCAAAAATTCGAGACAGGTCTCAGTTAATTTACAGTTTATTTTGCCAACGTTGAGGATGCAACCCCATGACACAGCCTCAGAAGGTCCTGATGACATGTGCCCAAGGTGATCAGAGCACAGTTGGGTTTTATACATTCTAGGGACATATGAGACATCAATCAACACATGCAAGATGAACATTGGTTCTGTCTGGAAAGGCAGGACAACTCAAAGCAAAGGCAGGAATACTGGAACCAGGGATGGGGCTTTCCAGGTCATAAGTAGATAAGAGACAAATGGTTGCATTTTTTTCAGTTTCTGACTAAGGCTAGTTGAGTTGCCTTCTAAAGGAGGCAATCAGATATGCATTTATGTCAGTGAGCAGAGGTGTGAGTTTGAACAGAATGGGAGGCAGGTTGGCCCTAAGCTGTTCCAAGCTTCACTTTTCCCTTTAGCTTAGTGATTTGGGGGCTCCAAGATTTATTTTCCTTTCACATCCCAATAACCCAGCAATAATTAAGGGAAAGGCAAGATGGAGGATGAATTAGCTCAGCTTACTGTTAAAATTTTCTCAGTGATACAATTTTTGCAAAGGTGGTTTCTATTCCCCAGCTACCACCCCTCTTGCCTAGTCATGTTATTCTTAGCCACAGAAACCTCAGACCTCCCAACAATGTAGCAACTCAGGGGTTAACCTTGACACAGCAGGAACCCTCCCAGACCTCCCCAAGCTCTAAAGACCTGTGGCCTTGTCCCTTGAGGCCCTAAGGCTCTACTGATCATTATTTATTTTGACCATCACCCCCGGGTCTAAGTGTCCTAGCACAAAGACCGATAAAACAGAAGTTGGCATTTTAGAGGGTCTCATTTATTATCGCATTCTAATTTTTGAGTCAGAAGAGGAATTTTCCTAGAATCAAAGAATAGGTAAGTTGGAGATTTTTCTAATGTTCTTCTTTTAGTTAAACAAACAACATGCTTTTGGGAGGGAATAAATATCTTCCAAATTTATGTCATTAAAGACAGTATGTGGTACTATAACGGTAATCTCCAAAGTCATCTAGAAATTGTCAATGAAGGAAAATATACATTTTAAATTTCTGCTAGGCAACATTTAAACTGGAAAAACAGTGGTCTTAAATAAGTTTAAATATTTTTTTCTGAATGTTTTTCTCTTTATTTTCAGAATTGAAAAGCAAGAACTACAACAAAATACCTCTTACCTAAAATAGACCTTAATATGCAACTGGAATTAAATAAAGATACATTTTTTAAAGTCTGTTTTAGTTTTATTTTTTAATGTCCAATTACCAAATGGGTTAAGAGCACATACCTGAAGCCCAACTTTCTTGGTTAGCATCTCAGTTCCACACTTACTGGCTATGTGTGCATAGGCCAGTTACTTAATCTTTGTGTGGCTCCATTTCCTCAGCTGTAAAGTGGGGGTAACAGTATCGACCTTACAGGATTTTCATGAAGATTTACAAAGTAAATATTTACAAAGAGTTTAGAATAGTGCTTGCCACATAGTAAATGCTATCCAAGTGTTTGTTAAATAAAAAATAAGCACCTTAGATCACGTTTACCATCATTACCAATCTTTGATAAAGACAAAATTTTAAGTTGGAAATCCAAAGAAAACGTTTAAATAGAAGTCTAAGTGTTAAGGCTTGTTATGGAAAATTGGCATAAATCTCCCTCGCTTTCAACTTTCACCTATTCCACTCTCCATGGTGTTCCTTCTCTGCAAAGTCATCCACATGTATTATAAAAGTGGATGCCTTGGATTGGTATGTTGACTAATTTGTTCTTAGCTCTTCTCTCATCAGCCTAAGAACAAGAAAAACAAGATTGAGGCCTCTGCTATGAAACTCTTAGGTAATAAAATTAATAGCACTGTTCATGCCTACCTAGAACAAAGGCTACCTGAGTACATGAGAATATTTTCCTCGGTGTTAAAATGCCAGAGCACAAAGGCACCCCAGTTCTCCCTGGTGAGGGTTTGAGCCCGAATTGTTCACCGCCACCCCACCCCCCGCCTTTTTTTTCTTGAGACAGGGTCTCTGTTGCCCAGACTGGAGTGCAGTGGTTCGATCATGTCTCACTGCAGCCTCCACCTCCTGGGCTCAAGCCATCCGTCCTCCCACCTCAGCCTCCTGAGTAGCTGGTACTACAGAAGTACACCACCACACCTGGCTAATTTTTGTAGAGACAGGGTTTCACCATGATGCCCAGGTTAGTCTCGAACTTCTGGACTCAAGAGAGCCACTCGCCTCGGCCTCCCAAAGTGCTGTGATTACAGGCGTGAGCTACCCCGCAGCCCTGCTCACTCTTTGTTGCATAAATACCTGCTGTCAAGTCTTCCAACCTTGATTTGGTTACTTAACCTCACTCTTTGCCTCTAATCCCTCATCTGTAAACTGAGCGTTAATAGATTGCTGTGAGATTTAATACATAATGTGCCTACATATGTATGGTATAACAAGGATATCATAAACATTAGTTATTAATAATTTGTGGGAATAGGTCTTTCCAGTTTGGGCATTGCTTTTCCCTTAAAGGTTTCTTTCGAATATCTCTATGACCCAGAAAATGGGGCAGGGTAGCGGGAGTTGCCTGCTGGAGACGGAATGGGGAGTGGATGGATATAGCGGGCGTGGACGGACAGCGACAGAAGCTGATAACAGCACAGAAGGGCAAAGTCTGCTCTACAGCCCCCAAAATAAACTTGAGCCTGGCAATCCGCGCAGAACACCAGAGGTCAGCAGCTTCGGTGCAAAGCAACTAACATCCGAAGGCTTCCAAAAGCAGCAGAGCTCTGTCTAGCCGGGGAGACTTTTCGACCAGAGAGGAGCCAGAAGGGGGCCTCAGCGTAGCCTCCACTCCACTCAATTCCCGGAGTTACCTTGGCGGGCTCCACGCTCCGAGAGACGCAGTTGCTCTAAGAGGCGTGTCTGTGTTTCTCTAGTTCGCGGCTCCAGCAGCCGCGCCAAGGGGCAGCTGCTACTCCTGCCAGATACACTAGTTATCACGGGCCGCCCCAGGCCTGTGGGGCCGCTGAGAATTCGCAGCAAGCCCCAGGCCCCGGGGCGCGGCTGGCGCTGAGGCCCCGCCTGGCCATGCCCATTGGCGGAGGCTGCTCTGGGGGCGGGGTCAGGGCGCCCCATTCCTAGACGCCGCAGCCCGGTCCGCCGCGGGTGCGTGTGGAGGAGAGGCCCAGGTGAGGAGCCAGCGCCCGCGTTCCGGAAGCCCCCTCCCGGGGCCATGGGGGCACAGGTGAGGCTGCCGCCTGGAGAGCCCTGCCAAGAAGGTTTGTGTCTGCCCTGGGCCGAGGGACCTAGCAGCTGGGTGGCCAAGAGACCGGGTGGGCGGTCCCCGGATACTTGGCGGAGACTGGGAAGGGGGGATGTACCGACTCTTAACGTAGTCGTTCACTCATTCATTCATTCGGTCAGTCGGCCGTCCAGCCAGGCGTTCAGCACTTACTTAGGGGTGCCTAGGCGATTCGGGCTGTGCTGGAGAACCTGAGTGGAATAAGGCAGATGAGATTCCCACTCGATTCGCGAGGCCGACCCGTGTAAATTACCGCGTGCTGCGTGTGGAACTGGGAAACTCAGAATGCTATGGGAAGAATCCCGAGTCCCTCTGAGAAGGACGTTTCCTCTGACTCAGGCTGGCTTCCAAAGTCTGGGGCCGACGTCACCCGGTGGGCAGAGGGCGTGTCTGCCTGGGGGGCCCGTGGGAGTTCTGCGCTGCGCCCTCCTCTGACTCCCGGGGATCTAGCACCGCGAGAGGAGAGCCAGGGGCCGCGAGGGTGGGCGCTGGGCAAGTCTGGGCCGTCCACATCTCTCCTCTTCCTTGGAGATGAAAAGGTCTCCAAACCCACGAGCCTGTCTGACTCGCTGTGCAGTCACTTTTTGGCTGCTTAAGGCGAGAGCCGTACTGGAGAGGAAACCGGGAACCGGGAGCCCTCGTTTGCAGGCTCTTCCCACTGCTTCCCGGCTGAGCCCTGTGAAATCTCTGGCCGAGGCTCCTTGCCCTTCGCCAGGTGTTCGCAACACTGGTGGGCTTTCTGCAGTCTCCATACCGAAGGCCCCGATAAAAGTAAGGAAGGGGGTAGGGGGAGCGACTGGAAGGATGTGGATACATTGAAATGATGGTTTTCACCGTACCCAGGGGAAAGCAGCTTTTTAATTTACCTGGTAATGCAGTAAAGGGGAAGGGAGGCAGTGAAAGGCATGGTAAGAACTATATATATACACATACATATCTATAGTTCCCTTACATATATATGTATGTATGTATATACATATACACCTGTGCAAAGGTGCCTGCAACTTCCCTGGTTTCCTCTCCTCTTGACTTTCCAGCTTATTCCTTTTTAACAAGTGAGCTCGTCAAAACCATGCCAGCAAGGAAGAGAAGAGACATCAAAAAAAGAGAAAAATGCCTGAACGATTCACAAACTATTAAAAAAAAAAAAAAAACTAAAATTTTAAGGCCGCTGGATCTAGAATTATCTTCTAGTCTTTTTTTCTCAAAAAGAGCAAAAACGCCTGAACAACTCACAAACTATTAAAAAAACAAAAATTTAAAGGCAGCTGGATCTAGAATTATTCCCTAGTCCCATTTTTTCTCAGAAAGAGAAAAAATGTGTGAACAATTCACAAACTATTAAAAGACAAAATTTGTAAGGCAGCTGAATCTAGAATTATTTCCTAGACAGTCAGGTTGTGTGCCCTTTTTCTAAATAATTTCTAACCCAGCAAATCCGACGGTTACTAACACACCCACCCTTGTTTACCCAAGGATCTGTAAGTAAGGAGGGTATATGAATTACACCCACTAAAGTGTTTGAGCTTCCGGATATTTTTCCTGCTTTGCTTGTTCATTGAGTTCCAACAAGAAACATTTAAGCTCCAGGCTTAATACCTGTGATTAACCATAGTAATTAATTGTGTGGAAAGCTGGTGAGAAAGACTTAGAAATCTGAATGCACGTTATTAGTAGTGGGAAGAGATTAGGCTTTGGCATCAGACAGTCTGAGCTGTAACTTAGCTTCCTTGAGCCTTTTGCCTGTCTGTAAATTGTCTATAAATTGGGGATCATCCCTCCAGTTTACAGTTCTGAAGAGTAGGTACAGGTGGGATTACATATGAACTATACCACTCAGAGCTTGACATGGAGTAAACAAAGACTCAAAATTTCACTTGTTCGTTCAAATAACAACAGTCCCATGTGCCAAGCAGTGGCATAGGTGCTAGAATAAAGGGGTCTGCAAGTCTGGTCCTAGACTCTAGGACTAGGTTCCTGCTCTCAGGCACCTTACTGTCCAGATGGCAGCTACTATGCAAGAAACAAAGTAATTTAAAAGATCATTATAATAGCAGTAATGTATCAAGAGTGTTGGGATGTTTAGATTGGGTATTCAATGAAAGCCCCTTAAGAAAGTGATATTCAAGCTGAGACCCAAATGACAAGGTGTCAGTCATGAGATCTGAAGATAGAGCATTCCAGTTGAACTTCCATGAAGAAAAAGTTAATTTCATACTTTGGTTTTGACTTTTTTTGTTTTTTTGTTTTTTGTTTTTTGGTTTTTTTTGTTTTTTTGTTTTTGTTTTTGTTTTGTTTTTTTGAGGAGGAGTCCCACTGTGTCGCCCAGGATGGAATACAGTGGTGCAATTTCGGCTCACTGCAACCTCCACCTTCTGGGTTCAAGCAATTCTCCTGCCTCAGCCTCTCAGGTAGCTGGGGCTACAGGCACATGTCACCACACCCAGCTAATTTTTGTATTTTTAATAAGGGTTTCACTGTATTGACCAGGCTGGTCTTGAACTCCTAACTTCAAGTGATCCTCCCACCTTGGCATGCCAAAGTGCTGGGTTTACAGGTGTGAGCCACCCCTCACCCCACATTAGTTTTGACTTTTAAAGCTACAGATGCTTCAAAAGAGTCTCTAATCCAAAATTATCTTTAAAAGAAACAAATTCAAACATGTATGAAGGTTGTTATAAAACTGTAATTAAGCTGTATGAGGAAGTCTATTTGATTGGGAACATATGATGGAAAGTGAGAGGTTTCTTTAGATTGGGAAGGCAGGGAAGGCCTCTCTGAGTTGCTTAGTCCTCTCACTTAGAAGAAGCTAGTTATGCCAGCCAGCACTCCGTAACAGGCTCAGGAACGGCTGCTTTTTAAAAAGTTTAAGTTGAGAAGGAACTTATTCTATGAAAGGAACAGAAGAAAAGGCAATAGTGGGGAATGAGATTAGACAGCTGGAGACAGGATTCCACGGGGCCTTATAGACTATAGTGGGAATTTGGGATTTTTTTCTGAATGAGAAGGGAAGCCCGTGCGGAGTTTTGGAAGGAGGAATAACAGGATCAGACCTACTTTGTCTAAAGGTTCATTTCACCTGATCCTTCTCCCACCTACTCTTTAGCCACATCTCATACCATCTCCCTTTCTGTCACCCCAGGTAACCTGGCTGACTGCAGTTTCTTCAACCCCTCAGGGTTTCTGCTTTTAAACTTAGCAGAGAGGCTCTTTTGTTTAATCCTGTTTTAAAAAAAATATATTCCTTGATGCTGCTTTTACTACTTGCCATGGCACTCTTAACATACATATAGTTATTTGTTTGTTAATCTTATCTCCTCCTACTGGAATATAAGAGAGAGGGAACACTGTTGTGTTCATTTTTGTGTCTCCAGATTCTAGAAAATGCCCAACAGGTAGTACACCATACATATTTGTTGAATGAAGGAAAAGAAGATTAGTGTTTCAGAGAGGGGTGAGAGGGAGAGTAATGCAATATGATGTCAGAGATGAGGCAGTTTCAGAGCATGAGAAGCTTTAAAGTTCAAAGTTAGTGAGGAGTTGAGATTTTGTTAAGATGAAAAACCATGACAGGGCACAGGGAGGATTAAGCCAGGGAGTGATATAACCTACTTCCCACTGATTAGTGTTTGGAGAATAAATTGTACCAGACATAAAGAGATTTCATTCAGTCATTCCTATGCTAATATGAATAGGCAGGTATATCACATATTCTTGCTTAGGTTTCTAGGTCAACTGAAGGTTGACTGGCCTAGATGGGGCTCACCTATGTGTCTCTGCTTCAGGCTACACGTCCACCTGGGTTTGGCTCCTTCATGTGGGATGAGCTCAGATCTGCTCCATGTGTCTTCATTTGAGTGCTGAGGCTGAAGGGAGAGCAACTCCTCAGGGAATTACAGAGATGCAAATGAGTAAACCCAACCACATAAGCATTTTTGAAATCTAGCTTCATATCACTTCTGCTGACATCCCATTGGCCACCAAATCACTTTCAGCCCAACATCAGGTGAAGCACCTTTGCCCACATTGGGAAGGGTAGGGGCTGAATATTGAATGAATAATAATCCAAACTGTCACAATAGAATAGATGGTGAGACCCCCAACAGGAAATATCTTGCAGTGATTAAAAAGGTAGTTTTATACAATCATTGACTTTCTTAAAACCAGATTTCTATTCCATGTAATAAACTGGACCATTTAAATTATTATTTATATTATTATTCTCTATAGGCAAATATTTGACAAATTATTTAAAGCATTTCATCCTCATATAAATGAATAATAAATTTCAACTGGCTTTTTCTTGTACTTTATGTTTTTATTTTTCTGAAATAGAATGCTGGATGGGATTTGGGTTACTTGGCCCTGGTTTTAGCAGTTACATAACTTTGGCCAGTGTCACTTAATATATTGGCATCAGTTTCTTTAAACTATCTCCCGTCTGTCAGTGTCTATGAGTTTAGAACTGGTCCATCAGCAACATTTATGAGGCACCAGTATGTAAGTAATTCTGAGAACAGACATAGATTATGATCAAACTTTAGAATCACTGAGTCAAAGTCCCTCATTTTACAGATGGGGAAACTGAAACCAAGAGCCATTACTCAACTTGCCCATGATTATAGATGGTAGATCTTCATTTTTAAATGTTAAAGTTGTGTGTATGTAAACTATTACACCTGTATGTAGAAGATAAATATTAGGTTGATCTATATGAAACTACTTGTCATAGGGTTCAAATTTTTCAGTTATCAATTTCATATAGTTCAACATAATAGAAGAACATTAGGAGTACTGTTTGTAGGATCTGTAAATTACTTATCAACCAACTATAAAATAGAAAAATTAATTGTGTGATATACAGTGGAATTCTCTAGAACAGTGGGGGAAAAACAAATCCTACAGCCACATGCATCATGTCTTGATGAATCTCGAAAACAAGTCACCGAAGAACAATGTCTTTATCATTACATTTTCTTAGGTGCAAAAAGAGGCAAAAACATTTTCAAGATATATGGAGAAAATCTTTTTTATAAGCAAAAGAATGTTAAAGAGAAAATCAGGATAGTTATGAACTCTGAGGGGTGATGCTTTATTTCTTAAATTAGCTGTTTGATACATTGGTGTATATATATATATTTATAACATGTATTTCCTAAATATTCATTACTTTCTATTTAGAAAAATAACATCAAAAAAGAAATACATGTTCTTGGCTAGCAAGAGTATACCTTGGTATAGTCACTTTAGAGGACTATTGATGGTGTCTATTAAAAATGAAAAATAATGAATGTAGTAGATGTTCTCTTTCTGTGGAATAAAGTCTACATTAAACTCCCTGGAAAATTACTGTGCTTACTTGAATCTTGATAAGCCAATTGTGACTTCAGATGTCTTTGATTCCTTTAAAACACTCTAAATTCCCTGCCCACACAACCTCCATTACCCATCTCTCCCCTTCTCCCATAGGCCACTCCACATCCACTAACCCATCCTTTCTTTCCTCTTTCAGTCATATCTGCCGTAGGCTCTCTCCCTAACATGTTCCCAAAGCATAAAACAATTTAAGTCCTAAGGTCAGTAACCAGACAAGATTTTTATTATTTTTCCTGCCATAAAACTTGGAGCATTCATGCCTGCCAGTTACAATGAGAACTTGCAAAATGCAACAGTGATCATTTGATCTCCCTTATGACCCTCTGCTCCCACACCCCCTACAATGTCAGAAACATTTTGCTATGTCAACAACTTAGAAGGAATATTGTTTCACTGGAATGAGATCCACCCACACTGATTTCAGAGACAAAGTTTTAGAATGGTTATGTTAACTGCATAGTAAATGACATGAATGCAGTCATGGAATTCACTGGTAAGTCAGGTCCGATATTTTCTCAGGAATGAGTGTAATCAAAATTCTTACAAAAATATACTTAATCACTTTCCCTTCTTGGGGCTTAAATGAGATAAACGTGGTGTGGAACAAGATTGCTAAGGGCTAACTTGCTTGAAAATTTGCAGCATCAGCCTGACCAATGTAGTGAGACCCCATCTCTACAAAAAAAATTTAAAAATTAGCTGGGCATGGTGGTGCATGCCTGTGGTTCCAGCTACTTGGGAGGCTAAGGTGGGAGGATCATTTAAACCCAGGAGGTCAAGGTTGCAATGAGCCGTGATGGCACCACTGCACTACAGCCTGGGTGACAGAGTGAGACCCTGTCTCAGAAAAAAAAGAAATGAAAATTTGCAGCAGTTAGAATATTTAGTTTTGACTTTGAGTTTATTCTGGATTTCTGTTTCTTTGTTTTGTTTGTTTGTTTTTTTGTTTTTGTGGAGATCTCGCTATATTGCCCAGGCTGGTCTTGAACTCTGGTGCTCAAGGAAACCTCTAGCCTCTGCCTCCCTAAGTGCTAGGATTACAAGGGTGGGACACCATGTCCAACTATTCTGGATTTCTGAAGCAAAGTTGGGTCATTTTCAAATTACAGAAATAAATTAAATAATAGTCATGAAAACCTTGAATTCCATTATTTTATTATTTTCCAGACCTGAACTTCATGGGTGTTTCTTAACTTTGCATGTGGTAAAATTCAGGTGGCTTCATGAAGCTTTGCCAGAGGTATATAGGTCCACTTATGGAAGTCTTGTTGCTAAGACATCATTTGATCAAACAGCCTTTTGTTGCTTATATGCCTTAAGATTTTTGAAATGTAAAACTTTTCTAAAAATTGAATTACAAAATTGTATCTGATTAATTTTCCTTTACCCTCTTTTGTTTAGGGTAATTCATAATGGGAGAATTTGCCATTTTTAAAGGGAAAAAGATGGGAAGACAGAACATCTTGTCACAATGTCACCTTGTTGGTGTCTTTTCGAGTGGAGAACAGATTACAAAAATTTCTTACATAGTGTAAAACTTCATTTCATTTTGTTTTCATTTTGTGTTTTAGTGTTTAGCCTCAAAATTCCAAGACATTTATAATAGTGGACTTGGTTCAGGGGATTTACATACTTCTTTGAATCTCATTTTTTAAAAAACCTAATGATACTTAATTCATTTTTTATTAGATTCTATTTTCTTTAGGAGACAGTGTATTAATAGACCTGAAAAATCAGTGAAAGTGGTACAGAAAACTAAACTCACTTTTAAAACGTTTTCTGAAATATATAATTCTTCATGCCCATCAAATGACTCATGACTCACACCCCACCAAAATAGTTAGACAGATTTCTTCTCCTTCTCCTTCTCCTTCTCCTTCTTCTTCTTCTTCCTCTTCTTCCTCTTCTTCTTCTTCCTCTTCTTCTTCTTCTTCTTCCTCTTCTTCTTCCTCTTCCTCTTCTTCTTCTTTCTTCTTTCTTCTTTCTTCTTTCTTCTTCTTCCTCCTTCTTCCCTCCTCCTCCTCCTCTTCCTTCTTCTTCTTTCTTCTTCTTCTTCTTCTTTTTTTGGAGATAATCTCGTTCTGTCACCCAGGCTGGAGTGCAGTGGCATGATCTCAGCTCACTGCAACCGCCTCCCAGGTTCAAGTGATTCTCCTGCCTCCACCTCCAGAGTAGCTGGGACTACAGGCACGTACCACCATGCCCATGCCCCTCTAATTTTTGTATTTTTAGTAGAGATGAGGTTTCACCATGTTGGCCAGGCTGGTCTCGAACTCCTGATCTCAAGTGATCCACCCACCTTGGCCTCCCAAAGTGCTGGGATTACAGCCATAATGCCCAGCCAATTTCTTTTTTCTTTTTTTCTTTTTTGAGACAGGGTCTTGCTCTGTTACCTAGGCTGGAGTGCAGTGGTGTAATCGCAGCTTACTGCAGCCTCATCCTCCTGGGCTCAAGCAATCCTCCCACCTCAGCCTCCCGAGTAGCTAGGACCACAGACATGCGCCACCATGCCTGGTTAATTTTTCAATTTTTTTTATGTAGATGGAATTTCACTATGTTGCCCAGGCTGGTCTCAAACTCCTGGAATCAAGCAATCATCCTACCTTGGCCTCCCAAAATGCTGGTATTATAGGTGTGAGCTACCACACCCAGCGAATAGATTTCTTGCAATGTGATTTCTAGACAGGGTGCTATGCTTCCTCCCTACATTCAGGCCCCACAAGCCCTGCTTTCCAGTAGCCAGGCTGATAATGCAGAGTGAAGGGGATGTGACAGGCTGTGTTGAACTGTTGAGCACAAGCCAGGTCTGAACAGCTATTCACTGCTCCATCAAGTTGCTGATTCGCCAGAACAAAGACACAAGTGTTGCCAGATCGAATTTATAGGGGGAATCTAGGCTTTCATGTGAAATTGTTCATTTTTAAGTGATGACAGCTAAACACTTTAAAATCATTTTTAAAAATCTGTGTAAGCCAATTTGACAATGTCTGTAGGCCTGTGGGCCACCTGTTAAGGACTTCCCTGCATGTAGTAAAATGTTTCAGTACCATCCACTCAAGGCTCTGTTTCCTGCAGAAAGCCAGTAAGCCTTAATACCTCTCCCTTTCATTCCTGACATTCTCTCCTTTCCTTTTTTCCAGGATATGTGCTGTCTCTGGTCTGTCCAAACTCCTTCCAGGCTTGGTGTGAGATCACAAATGTTTCACAGCTGCTGGCTTCTCCTGTGCTCTACACGGACCTGAATTCCAGCATAAACAACTTGAGCATTTCAGCAAATGTAGAAAACAAATACAGTCTTTATGTGGGCTTGGTACTGGCAGTAAGTTCAAGTATTTTTATTGGCTCCAGCTTCATCCTGAAAAAGAAGGGCCTCTTGCAACTGGCCAGCAAGGGTGTTACTAGAGCTGGTAAGAAACACATGCAACCAATGAATTTAAGTTTCTAACTGCAGAAATGATCCTGTTATAAGGCCACATCTCAACACTACTCTTATAAACTTGCTTGTGTAATTTATAGTTATTGATTTTTTCCATATGGATGTTAGAAAAATACTTAGGTCTTTGATTAAAATGAATAGAAAACTCATGATTAATGAAGGGATAGTCTGGCAGACCTACTCAGCATCTTAAGTGTCACTATAAATAGCAGCCTAATTCTATTGTTATCCATTTATTGATTTAATAAATATCTATTAGGGGCCAAACACTGCTAGGGAAGGTTCCTGTTCTTGAGAATCTACTATCAAGGCAAGTAAACCTATCAGCAATAAAAAAGAATACACGTACAACTAAAAATTATCCCAGGCTACAGTAATAATAACTCACTGGCTTGGTTTATCTTAGTCTCTATCTTCTTGGTGGAGTCAGCTGTGTCTCCCAGTGTCTGATCTCTGCCACCTCTCCAACTTCTGCTTTTCTCCCCATCACCTACTTTTCTCTTGTTCCTGGAATAGGTCTGGTTCTGTCCCACCCACAGGTCTTTTCCCATTGCCTGGAACTCTTCTCCCTGCCCTTCATTTAGCTGACTTATCCTTCAGACTTCAGTGTGAGTAGCATCACCTCATAAAGGCCTTCCTTGACCATTCTCTAACAGCAGGTCTCCCCACCCCACCCCCACTATTCTCTGTCATTGCACTAATAGTTTCCCTCACTGTACCTAGGATAATTTTTAGTTGTACATGTATTCTTTATTGTTGTTGATAGGTTTACTTGCTTATTGATAGTAGATTCTCAAGAACGGGAACCTTCCCTAGCAGTGTTTGGCACCTAATAGATATTTATTAAATCAATAAATGGACAACAATAGAATTAGGCTGCTATTTATAGTGACATTTAAGATGCTGAGTAGGTCTGCCTGAATATTCCTTCATTAACAATGAGTTTTCTATTCATTTTCATCAAGTATACTTTAAGATCTAAGCATTTTTCTAACATCCATATGGAAAAAAACTAAAGACTATAAATTACACAAGCAAGCTTATAAAAGTACTATTGAGATGAGATTTGTACTATCAGAAAATATATGCTATATTAAAACAATTTGATACTGGCATTAAAGGAGACAAAATCATAAAATAATTTAAAACTTATAAGCAGACCCAAGTATATATAACAATTGAATTTGTTATTTTAAAAAGTGGCATTTCAAAACTGTGGAGAAAGGACAAATCATTCCAAGTATTGAGACAATTGGGAAAAATTAGAGGAGAAAAACATGAAAGTTCTACTTCACACCATTCAGCAAAATACATTCCAGATAGGTTAGAATTTAATATAAAAATAATTTTTTTTTTTTTTTGAGACAGAGGTTTGCTCTGTCGGCCAGTCTGGAGTGCAATGGCATGATCTCTGGCTTGCTGCAACCTCCACCTCCCAGGTTCAAGCGATTTTCCTGCCTCAGCTTCCCAAGTAGCCGGGATTACAGGCATGCGCCACCACGCCCAGCTAATTTTGTATTTTTAGTAGAGACAGGGTTTCACCATGTTGGCCAGGCTGGTCTCGAACTCCTGACAGATGATCTATCCGCCTCGGCTTCCCAAAGTGCTGGGATTGCAGGCGTGAGCCACTGCGCCTGGCCAAAAAAATGAAATAATCGGGAAAAAAAAAACCTTTTCTAAGCATAAAGATAAAGAATTCATTTTATATAAAGGAAGAGATTATCTAGATTGAGAAAAAAATCCTATATGGAAAAAGTTTAAAAACTGAAACTAAAAAGTAAATGATGTATTGGGGAAAATATGATGAAATATGTGACAAAGTATAGTTTCATAATATATAAAAAGTAACTGCAGTCAATAAGTGAAAAGGTTAGTACCCTAACAGAAAATAGACATAGCATATAAACAAGAAACAAACAAAATAAGAAATGCAAATGACCAATAAACATATGTAAATAAATATTGTTTCACTAGTACCCAAAGAGATACCAACTAGACAATAGGTTCAGTGTGGTAACATAATTCCAACTTAGTTATTTGCAAATGTAATGACCAATAAACATACATAAATAAATATTATTTCGCTAGTACCCAAAGAGATACCAACTAGACAATAGTCAGGTCCAGGGTTGTAATATGATTCCAAGTTAGTTATTTGCCAATTTCTTACGGAGAAAGTCCTAAATAAGCACAGTTAACTACTTTGCAAAATAGTCTTCATAGCATATATATCCTGTTTAATTATAACAAAATCAATTAGGTCAAATGCAGAGGGCTAAGTATATTAAAATTCATAAGAAAATTCCATTTTCTATAGTAAATATAATGACATAAAGTTATAGATTAGAGTAGTAGGAAGATAACCCTTTGAATACCTTAAAAGCATTTTGTCCTTTTCAGTAGATGAAACAGAAACTTGATTTCAGTATGACAAGGTAGAAAATAAGCAGAGTGCATCTACCTGATGCTTGTTATTCTCTCATTGACTAATCCAAACTCTCAAAAGCTCTTATGTCAACCATCTTCTTCCCTTTACAGTCCTCATTAGTACCAATGTAATTTACTATTTATGTTTTCTGTTTTTAATTTTAACCATAGCTGAAATGAAGTATTTGTGTCCACACATCTGACTAACGTAAATATGGTGAACCTGATGATTAAATAAAATTTCTTACAAATTAAGAAAAACTTATCATTTGTGGAAAAGCAAAGGTGACACGGAAACATAATACAGAAAGTTTTAAGCAATCATAAGCAAAAAGAACAAAGCTGGAGGTATCACAGTACCTTCAAATTATACTGTAAGCTATCATAACCAAAACAGCATGGTACTGGTATAAAAATACACACATAGATCAGTGGAACAGAATAGAGAACCCAGAAATAAAGCCACATACCTACAACCAACTGATCTTTGACAAAGTTGAAAATAATATATGCTAGGGAAAGGCTGCCCTAGTCAATAAATGGTGCAAGAAAAATTGTAGAACCATATAGAAGAACAAAACTGGACCTTATATCTGACCATATACAAAAATCTACTCAAGATGGATTAAAAACTTAAATGTAAAACCTGAAACTATAAAAGCCCTAGAAGAAAACCTAGGAAAAACTTTTCTGGACATTGGCCTAGGCAAAGAATTTGTGACTAAGTCCTCAAAAGGAAATGCAACAAAAACAAAAATAGACAAATGTGACTTAAAGTAAAAAGCTTCTACAGAGCAAGAAAAATAATCAACAGGGTAAAAAGCCTACAGAATAGGAGAAAATACTTGCAAACTAAGCATCTGACAAAGGTCTAATACCCAGAATCTACAAGGAACTCAGTCAACTCAACAAGAAAAAAACAAACCCATAAAAAAGTGGGTAAAGGATATGAACATACGTTTTTCAAAAGACATGCAAGCGACCAACAAATATATGAAAAAATGTTCAGTGTCACTAATCACCAAAGAAAGGAAAATTAAAACCTAATGAGATACCATCTTACACCAGTCAGAATGGCTATTATTAATAAGTCAGAAAACAACAGATGTTGGCAAGAATGCAGAGAAAAGGGAATGCTTATACTCTGTTGGTGGGGATGTAAATTAGTACAACCACTGTGGAAAACAATATGGCGATCTCTCAGAGAACTAAAAATAGAACTGCCCTTCAATCCAGCAGTCCCTCTACTTGAGGAAAAGAAATCATTTTATCAAAAGACACTTGCACTCAAATGTTTATCACACTGCTATTCACAACAGCAAAGTCATGAAATCAACCTAAGTGCTCATCAACAGAGGACTGGATAAAGAAAATGTGGTTTATTTATATACAGACACCATAGAATACTACTTAGCTGTTAGAGAAATGAAACCATATCTTTTGCAGCAACATGGACAGAACTGGAGGCCATTATCCTAAGTGTAGTGACTCAGAAACAGAAAATCAAAAGCTGCGTGTTCTCGCTTGTAAGTGGGAGTTAAACCGTGGATACACATGCACATTTAAAGTGGAATAATGGACATTAGAGATTCCAAAAGGTGGGAGGGTAAAAGGGTAGAAGCAGGTGAGAGATGAAATACTACCTATTGGGTTCAATGTTCACTATTCAGGTAATAGATACACTAAAGGCCAGACTTTACAATACATTGATGTAACACAACTACACTTGTACCCCGAATCTCTTTTAAGAATCAGGAAAAATAAAACAAAAATGAACTCCTGATTCATAAAAGAATAAAATGGGTGGCAAACAGAAAAATGCAGATTGAAATGACATACCATTTTAAGACTATCAAATTTGCAAAGTTTTTTAAAAAATTGACATAACTTTTCTGGCGGGCAATTTCTTTAAAAAATGCATTTCCTCCTACTCAACAATTACACTTCTAGGAATTTATCCTGGAGAAATAATCATTCCAGTGTTACAAAGATGTATGTGTAGGGAGGTTCATGAGAGCATTATAAGAGAAACGTGGAAAAAAATATAAATGCAATTAATCCATTAGGGGATTTGTTAAATCATTGTAAACTGGGGGGGAAAAAGCTTTAAAAGAGCTTTGGAAATGACCAAGTAAATAAGCTAAGAGACTTTAGTTTACTGACTTAACTTTTCTAACCATAATCCAGTACGCTTCCTAGAAGTCAATTCTTCAAACCTTCCTCCAGTGTAGAACTCATTTTTTGTTAATTTTTATTTTTTGTATTTTAGGACAAGGTGGACATTCTTACCTGAAGGAATGGCTCTGGTGGGTAGGATTGCTGTCAAGTAAGTTTTTAATACTGAGAATACTGTTCATTTGTAAGACAGTAAATAGATTATATGAAATTTTTCAAAATTGGTTAATCTTCCTGTCAAGAATGGAACAAGGATGGAATTTAAGCCTAAAAATTTTTGTGTTGGTATAATATATTGCCCTATATATACTATTATATATGAATAAATTAATTTTTACTCTTATTTCCCACCACCTGTGCCCTCAGTACTGTCTTGGAATGCAAGGGAAAACGTTGACCTTTCAAATATTGTATTTTAACCACAGACTTCTGCTATTTTCTTCACCATAACAATAGAGAAAAGTACTTTTCTTTCATGTTTTCCCACCTCCTAATTTGAACCTGTGACTATATATACTACATATTTTCTCAAGAACGAGTACAGTTTCCTTGCCAGGACAACAACATGGATAAGTGAAAGGCTTCTGTGGCTGCTTGGTACTGAACAAATGGAGAAGAAATGAGGGCTGTCAGCACTCTCCTTCCTCCCAGACCTGCTGTGAGGATTAAACGAGACTTTGTAGGATCTGAAAGCACTTTCTAAATGCTAATGTGATATCCAAATAGAAGGCAGTGTTCATCTCCCTCAGCCACGTTTGCTGACTTCAGTCTCCCCACTAAGTGAAATTTCTTAAATCCCAAAACGGAAGCTTCCCTCAGAAAGGGCATCATAAATTCCCTCTGTAGCCAGGAGTCTTAAAGCTTCCCTGAATTTCCCCAAACCAAGCAACACATTTCAGTATTTGTAAGATCCTGTTATGCGAAGGAACTGGGTACCTTTTCTTTAATAAATGGTGGAGTCTAAAAGTGTGATTAATGAAAATAATTTAAATATGTATAGCCCCTTTAGTGTTTGTTTATTATAGTTTTTTGTTGTTGTTGTTGTTTTGAGGTGGAGTCTTGCTCTGTGGCCCAGGCTGGAGTGCAATGGCACAATCTTGGCTCATTGCAGCCTCCACCTCCCAGGTTCAAGCGATTCTCCTGCCTCAGCCTCCCGAGTACCTAGGATTACAGGTGCACATCACCACACCCAGCTAATTTTTGTATTTTTAGTAGAGACGAGGTATCACCATGTTAGCCAGGCTGGTCTTGGAACTTCTGATCTCAGGACACCCACCTCGGCCTTCCAAAGTGCTGTGATTACAGGCGTGAGCCACCATGCCCGGCCACCCCCTTCAGTTTTTAGGGTGCTTTTACATCCACTTTATCTATTTGAATAAAAATTGACCAGGGCTGTCTGGGAAGATTCCAGATAGGTATTTGGATCATTCTCTTTTTCTCTTTTACTTGCATCTCCCCACCCTCTACCCATACTTTATAATGAAATTATAAGGAGAATATTATGTGACTACATTTGCAATTTTGCTTTCACCATGTAAAAATGTTTATGTCAGTATTGAAGAGAGAAAAGCACACCTTAGAGATTAAGTAAGTGACATACATACAGTACTTTAATCATGAAGTCAATGTTTTCCTGGAAAGAAAGATGAAGATAAAATATAAATAATATAAAATATCCAAGGAAACCTTAATATTCCAAGAAAACTGCCACGGTTCTTTGTTTTTTTTTTTCTTTTTATTTGTTTAGTTTTTTATTTTTTGAGACAGAGTCTCGCTCTTGTTGTCCAGGCTGGAGTGCAGTGGCTCACTGCAACCTCCACCTCCCAGATTCAAGTGATTCTCCTGCCTCAGCCTCTAGAGTAGCTGGGATTAAAGGCGCTTGCCACCACAGCTGGCTGATTTTTGTATTTTTAGTAGAGATGGGGTTTTACCATGTTGGCCAGGCTGATTTCGAACTCCTGACCTCAAGTGATCTGCTCCCGTCTAGCTCCCAAAGTGCTAGGATTACAGGTATGAGTCACTGGCCTCGCCATGGTTCCTTCGATGAGAGCAATGTCCTAATTATTCTGTTCTGTAAGTTTAGATTTGTTTAATGATGTTTTCCTAATGGTGAGTACTCCTATAGATTTGGGGGGATGTAGCATAGCAGCCAGACAAATGGAAAAAGAAAAAAATTATGCTAGTGTTCCTTTCTCTCTCTACAATAAGCATTTGCTTGGTGTAGTTGCCAGCATGAAATACTACATTCTGTGGGCAAGTTTCCAGCTGTGTTCTGTGAGAATAACTTGGCCCCAGTACAAGAGCCCAGCTCTTGAAGGGATTTCTCTCACTCTAGAAGTTATTTATAGCACACTATATCATGCAAGTCTAGAGTTCCTCGGATAAGAAAAAGATTACATTCAGGAGCATATCATGACTTTAAAACAGCTCCCTGGATCTTGTTAAGCTACTGAGATACTGTTACTTGCTTGTAGATCACTTACAATAGAGGCATATCTAACTTCATGGGACTGTGGCGGGTATTGCTGGCTATTCCCTACCCACACACCAGGTTTAACCATTCTAATTTTCCAAACTGGTTTTGGTGGTTGTGGGTAACCTACAAAACTGTAGGTATTCTTGAGCAAGTGAAAGAATTATCTGCTTACTACAAAGCTACCTCTACTAGAGTTGATCAGAGTCACCAAATGTGTCTTCAGTAGCTAAAAATTTCCATTGAAAGCCATTTAAAATGGGTACTCATCTGTCACCATTTTTTGCATCTTTTGAGTTTGTATCACCTGGTATTACAGTTTGTCTGCATCTCTTAATATTAATTATCTCCTACCCGCTATAAAACACGTTACATCATTCTTTTTAGCTACATCTTCCCATGTCTTTGGGTTAAAAGTCCACTGCTTTGCATGACTCGTTTGTTTTTCTCTTCTGACAAGCAAGCCCATTTTTTATGTCAATATCTCTGCTTGCTTTCTAGTGGGAGCAGGAGAAGCTGCAAATTTTGCTGCTTATGCTTTTGCACCTGCCACCTTGGTCACCCCTCTGGGTGCTCTGAGTGTTCTTATAAGGTATGTGAGCGACAAGGAACTTGGCTTCTGTAGGTATTTTAAGACCAAGATAAACTTAAACCATAAGAAACATACAGCTATGGATATCTAAAAGCAAACACACAAATCTGGACCAACCTGGGCTCTAAAAGTCTAGATGAACCCAAATTATTTCTGAGACTCCTGGGAAGCTTTGGACAAGTCACTCAGCCTCAGTTTACTCATTCATAAAGTGAGAATAATACTTTTTCTTGCCTGAAATCACAAAAATAACTTGAGAAGACAATAACCGTAGAAATAGGAAATAGACGGTCACATTATTATTTTAAAAACCTAAGACACAGTGAGTTTGATTTCCTACTAACATAAATGTGTTTTACATTTGTAACAATGCAATGAAGCATGGAAGATTTTTTAAATCTCTCATCAGAACAAATTGCCAGAGTCCTGTCAATTCTTTTTCTCATCATAGTGGTTAATGACTGTAGTTATCAGAGGACTTTTAAAAGCATGGTGTTTTGGTTAAATTTTAACTCTCACTAAAATTCTTGCATTGTTTGCTGGATACTTCTGTTTGGAGACCCGGTATCTTTAGTACTGGAAACAGGAATAATTTTCCTATTTCATGGAATGTGGATCTAATTTTTCTGAGTTTATTATGATCCCAAATGAATGTGTTTAATAAGCATATACACGTTTATCTGTTCTTGTCTTTTTCTTTTCTATTCGTTATCAACCTCTAGTAGAAAACTTATGATTGAGCCTACTAAATTCTTTTTAGCTTCTTTATAGGATTGTTGTGAGAATTAAGTGAGTTAATACACATAAAGCACTTCGAACACTTGTCTATGCAATGAATAGCTAGTTGTAGTAGTAATAGTAGTCTTCACTAAGGCTGCAGTCCTACAAGTGGCCACATGAGGGCAACTTTAGGAAAGTACCTGGTAATTAATTGATCATAATCTTGAGGACAGATGGGCACTTAATTGCCTTCATGGGGATACAGGGCATTAGAGGAAGAAGGCTGGTTTGCAGAAAACACAGCAACTGAAACATTAGGAGTACCGGATAGGTCTAAGTATCAGAGCAGTAGCAGGTGGTAAAGTATTTTGATATTTTGAAAATCTGCATCAAGCTTCTCTAACCCATGGCCCATGGGCTGCATGTGGCCCAGGACAGCTTTGAATGTGGCCCAACATAAATTTGTAAACTGTCTTAAAACATTATGAGTTTTTTTGTGATTTTTTTTCTTTTGCTCATTAGCTATCATTACTGTTAGTATGTATTATGTGTTGCCCAAGACAATTCTTCCAGTGTGGCCTAGGGAAGCCAAAAGATTGAATACCCCCGGTCCGTTTGATTGTAGTGGTATGAACTAGCTGATTATTAGCCCTGAGCAGAGTAATTTTTCTTTAGGAATGTATCTTTCTTTGAAACATCCATGGGCATACATATTCTAAATGTATCATGCCAGTAAGAAATAAAAGATTTTCTATTTTGCTTGGCTTTACAGGAAAAGATGGGTAAATTGAAAATGACTTGAGTAGAACCTCTTGTAAGATCACTGGAAGATTATAAGATATAGAATATTATAGCTTTTTAGATATAAAAACAATGAAGCATATTTGCCCATCAGTCCTGAGTTTCAAACCAATCTCGGGTTTTCAGTGTCATATAGCGTATTCCAGTCAGCTCATTGGGATATATGGTGGCATGTACCACAGTGTGACTTCTGAGCTGCCATGGGATCAAAAGGTAATTGAACTATAGTGATCTTTTATTTTTTCTCTCCCAACAGTGCAATATTATCTTCCTACTTTTTAAACGAACACTTGAACATTCATGGGAAAATAGGCTGCATATTAAGTATATTGGGGTCAACTGTGATGGTTATCCATGCCCCACAAGAAGAGGAAGTCACATCTTTGCATGAAATGGAAATGAAATTGAGAGACCCAGGTCTGTGATTCACCCTAAAGAACCACTCAAATTCTGCTCCACTTTCTCTCCTCACCAAATAGTATCTGTAATAATATTGTAATAAACTTTCTACATTGTGGGCTGCATTGTGGGTTGTGAGACACAGTGAGGTTTGATTATTATTTCTCCTGAAAAGATGGCAGAACTTATTTTTGTGTTCATGCTTCCCGTCTTACACAATGAAAGGGAGAGATGGGGATGGTAGAGGCAAGAGACATATTCAAAATCAAATCTTTGCCACTTTCTTCCTCTGAAAATAAAAAATTACTCTGATAATATTTGCCCTAGCTCATAGTGGTATTAGTGACATTTAAATGATACGTTTGTGAAAATTCTTCGTAAAATATTGAGAGCTATGCAATATAATGTTGTTTTTAATTTGATCTCACTTCTATTTCTAAAATACCTATGCTCTTAAACTCATGACTAACAAGATTTCAGAAAGGTATAATCCTGTGTGCATTTTCTAACGTCAAATTCTTTTCTCCTCCTAACAGGGTTTATTTCTTTTGCTGTGATCATAACTGTGATCTCCTTGGTGCTGATTTTGATTGTGGCTCCAAAGAAAGGACAGACCAATATATTGGTTTATATTTCAATCTGTTCCTTGATTGGAGCGTTTTCAGTTTCTTCTGTCAAAGGCCTGGGAATTGCCATTAAGGAGCTGATAGAATGGAAGCCAGTTTACAAACATCCCCTGGTCTTTGTTTTGCTGGCTGTACTTGTGCTTTCAGTAACTACACAGATTAACTATCTCAACAAGGCACTGGACACCTTTAATACCTCTCTTGTGACACCCATTTATTATGTATTCTTCACATCCATGGTAGTCACTTGCTCTGCCATCTTATTCCAAGAGTGGTATGGCATGACAGCTGGAGACATCATTGGGACCCTGAGTGGATTCTTCACTATTATCATTGGCATCTTCCTTCTACATGCTTTTAAAAATACTGACATTACTTGGAGTGAGCTTACATCCACTGCTAAGAAAGAAGCCATCTCTCTGAATGTCAGTGAAAACAATTATGTTTTACTAGAGAACTTGGAGTGTTCAGCCCCGGGATACAATGATGACGTTACCTTGTTTAGTAGAACTGATGACTGAAGTCTCTAGAAACACTGAGTTTTAACCAATATGAGACACACGAAGAGGAAAATGAATGCTTGCTTCCTGGAAGAAATGCTAGGAAAGTTAGCATTTTCTAACTAATTTAGATGTGAGGCCAAGTAAAAATGCCCTTTTTTTGGCAGTCGAATTTGAAAATCAAATTGATTATCCTCCAGAAGACTTCTGCTGCTTTTCATTTCTACGAACTTTGAAATACTCTCTAAGGATCAAAGAAGTCAAAGTGCTATGTGTGTCTCAGAATAATCCCCTTCTTCTGGTCACAATATCTTTGTCTCTGCCAGGTGGCTCTTCATTTCTTTGGTGGCTATTTTTAGACTCACAGTCATTCACCAATATAAAGTTAGCAGTGTTCTGACAGACACAGTATCAGTCATATTCTCCGTTCAGTCATAATTTCAAATTATTAAAACTGAGAAGAGAGGCCAGGTATGGTGGTTCACACCTGTAATCCTAGCACTTTGGGAGGCCAAGGCGGGCAGATCACTTGAGCTCAGGAGTTTGAGACCACCCTGGGCCACAAGGCGAGACCCTGTCTCTACAAAAAATACAAAAATTAGTCAGGCATGGTGGCACATGCCTATAGTCCCAACCACTTGAGGCTGAAGTGGGAGGATCGCTTGAGTCTGCAAGGTTGGGGCTGCCATGAGCCCAGGTTGCGCTACTGCCCTCCAGCCTGGGTGACAAAGTAAGACCCTGTCTCAAAAAAGAAGAAAAAGGGCAAGGGGCTTTTGCTTTAAAAAACTTTTTTTTTAATTGAGAAGTGAGATCACAGGTGCTTTGTTCTTCCTTCTGCACCTTCCTTCTTAAACTAGATAATTAATTCGTTATTTTAAGAAAAAAGAAATTAAAAAAAAAAAAGCCTGCTTTATTTGTTAGTGGGCTAGAATACACAAGACACAGCCACCCATAAAGAGTTTATGAATTGTGACTCACCGACATACCATAGGAATTTACTACCAGTTAAAGAGGGAGAACGTAGGAAGAGAAAAGTACTTCACATAAAGGAAAACGTTTTCTTCTCACAAAAACACAGACACGTGATTGTTTTCACAGGTTCCATTAATTAACTCAGGTCTGGAAGACACAGGACAAAATGGAGTTTCTGAAGAAGTCCGGGTGAATTCAGCTTTGGAGTCACTTATGTTCATTTTTTTTTTTTTTCCTTTCTTTTAGTATTATCCTAAAGGTTATTTTTCTTGTTGATATAGAGATTTTTGTAAAAGATTGCTACATTATTCAGGATTGTATCCTACACTTCAATTGCTCGCAAATGTTTTAACCCTAAAGAGTGGGTTTTCCACAGACTGGAAGCAACTAGAAAAATCTTTGTGAAAAATCTGAACAAATTATCACAAGGGCTCTCTTGAAATTTTGCACTTTCACCCTTATTAAGGAAATTATAATTAGTTACTAACCTTTAAAAATAGGTATATTCTAATAGGATAGAAAGTTAACTTCCTGGCAAACAAAATACTAAGATCTCAGGGGCTACTGCAGGAAAATACCTTTTTTGCACATTAAAACGTTTATAAAATTTTCCTCTCTCATTTCAAATGCATGGCAGGAATAACATTTTTGGTGGTCTTTAATGTAATGGACAGATTTTCTGTCACATTGATTTTATGGAAAATAAATTGGCTATCTTATTTTTATACTAATCTTATTTTTCTCAAAACAAAAATCCTAACCAAAAAGTTGTCGTTTAAAAAAAAAAAAAAAAAAAAAAAAAGCAGGTTGACTGAATGTTTTTCTGCTCTAACCTTAAATGTTATTAGGTTTGGTTTTTGTTTCTAAGCTAGTTCAAGACTACCCAAGGTAATAATGGTAAACTTTATTATTCGGAATTCAATTAAACTGACTTCGGCATTTCCGCAGTTCTGTTAAACAATGACTGATGTTCACAATGACAACCTACCTGAGATGGCTGCAAGGCCCTAATGTTCCATTATCCATTATAGTCTTTTCAGCATAGTTTAGTGTTGAGTGCAATTCTAATGCATTCTACGTTTTTGAAAATCAATAATCCATGGAAGGTCCATGGGTTGATACCTCAGGTCATATACGTGTTTACTCTGTTGATTACTGTTTCACTTTACTTGTATATCAGATATATAAGCTATGAACACAAGTTTGTAGGAAAAGTATCTTCTGGCTAGGCAGTGGCTCACACCTGTAATTCCAACACTGTGCGGGGCTCAATGGGAGGATTTCTAATCGCCAGGAGTTTGAGACCAGTCTGGGCAACAAAGCTAGACCCCACCTCTCTAAAAAATGTAAAAAATATCAGGAGGCTGAATCAGGAGGATCATTTGAGCTTAGGAGTTCAAGGCTGCAGTAAGTTATGATTGCACCGCTGCATTCTAGCCTAGGTGACAGAGTGAGATCCTGCCCCAGAATAGTATCTTCTGATAAAGTGGCATTTGAAAATTGCAGAAATTTTAATATTCTTTTAATATTAAGAACGTTATTGATCTCTCTAGGACACCTTCCTGGTGAGGAAATCAATGGCATTTTTCTTGACATCCAACCTGGGACTCTGGTGATTCTCTGTTCTGGTGAATTTAAGTTTCAGACATTTCTTTGTGTCACCTTTTACAAACTGTTTGCCCTTGGTACGTTATGAGCAGGTCAAAGGTTCCCAAACACAAGATTCATTGTGTACCCTGGACAGGAAATTGAACTGGTGTTGACATGTATGCATGCCCAGGAGGAAGACTGGGAAATATTTAATGAGTTGAAGTATGCTGAGAAACAATGAAATATTTGAAAACTGTCTACATAAAAGTTACTGATGCATTTTTAAAAATGCATTAAAAAAAACAAAACTATTATTGCAAATCTAACACTAAAAAATTTTTGGCTGGGTGCAGTGGCTCACACCTGTAATCCCAGCACTTTGCGAGGCTGAGGCGGGTAGATCATCAGGTCAGGAGTTCAAGACCAGCCTGGCCAACATGGTGAAACCCTGTTTCTACCAAAAATACAAAAATCGGCCAGGCATGGTGCCAGGTGCCTATAATCCCAGCTACTCTGGAGGCTGAGACAGAGAATTGCTTGAACCCAGGAGGGGCAGGTTGCAGTGAGCCAATATTTCACCACCGCACTCCAGCCTGGGTGACAGCAAGACTCCATCTCAAAAAAAAAAAGAAATCCCAAATGGGAAGATACTGTCTAAGGAAGAATAAAATGTTGGATCCCTATGTTCAGACTATTAGTCTTAACTGGTAGCTTATGTATATATTTAATACTTTGTCATCATGTACATATCTTAAAATTTCTTACGCAAATATCTGCATGTGTGTCGTTAAGGATTACAAAGTTGTGCTCACACAGGACAAATGGAAAGATATTCCTACTTCTGTAAATATAAGTTTCATTATACTTTTGTTTTACAATTTTATTCTTAGGTCAATGGTTATTTATTATAAGTTCAGATTCCACAATTTTCATAAGACCCTTTAGATTTAGCACATGAAATTAACACATATTTTAAAGTATTAAATATATGGAAAGGATCTGGCATTATGCTTGATAATAGGCACTTAGTAAAATTTACTTTTCTTTGAATCAGCATTTGAATTCTTACAGTCTTGTCACTAGAGACTTAGGGACCATTGAGTGCTGATTTTTATACATTCATCATTTCTCAATTTGCCACATTATCTCATTTTAAATAATGCGAGTGAAAGTGAATTCATCGTACTATCTCAACGCCAATACAAAAGTATTCCAACAAAAATATTTTTCTTAATAAAACCAGAAAAACTGAACTAAATGCTGTTTTCCCCTTCCAACAAAGCTTTGCAGAAAAACATATGAATATATGAAATATTCTCAAATATTTTGAATAAACTATTCATGAAGTCTTATATTTTGCAAGTGTTTATACTGTTCATTTTAGAAAGTTTATAAATCTTAAATGTTTGTATATTTTTCATTTGCAATAAAATGTGATTTAATCATGCTTTTGAGTTCAGTTTTTAGTTTATAAATGTTAAGCATATATAATGGCAAAAGTATTGCCATTTTGTTTTGAGATTAAAAGGAAAGTTTCAGGCTGGGCCCGTGGCTCATGCCTGTAATCCCAGCACTTTGGGAGGCCGAGGGCAGATCACTTGAGGTCAGGAGTTCGAGACCAGCCTGGCCAACATGGTGAAACCCTGTCTCTACTAAAAATATAAAAAACTAACCAGGTATGGTGGCACGCGCCTGTAATCCCAGCTACTTGGGATGCTGAGGCAGGATAATTGCTTGAACCTGGGAGGCAGAGGTTGCAGTGAGCGGAGATTGTGCCACGGCACTCCAGCCTGAGCAACACAGCAAGACTCTGACTCATTTCAAAAAATAAAAAACGTTTCAGGGTTTCAAAAAACAAACAAACAAAAAAACTGCACTGATGTTAATGTTGCTATATCACTTCCCTTGAAATTGAAATTTGTTTTTAAAAGCCTCTCTGCAAGACCATCTCCCATGTAACAGCTTAAACAAAAGCACCTTAAAAGAAACTCTAATCCTTCAAATTGAACAAAAGCTCAAAGCTGTTAATAATAAAATCTCCCCTCAGAACAATAACTAGTATAAATGTATTTAGCACCATGCTTTATAAACCCTCAGTGAGTTTTCTTCTAGCTCTGTGGAACTACAGCTTTGCTTAAATTATCTAGGGGCTGGGTACAGTGGCTCAAGCCTATAATCCCAGCACTGGGAGGCCAAGGTGGGAGGATTGCTAGAGGCCAGGAGTTTGAGACCAGCCTGGGCCATAAAACTAGACCCTATCTCTACAAAAATTTTTAAAAACATTAGCCAAGTGTGGTGGCATGTTCCTGTAGTTCCAACTACTTAGGAGACAGAAGTAAGAGATTCCCTTGAGTCCAGGAATTGTAGGCTACAGTGAGCTATAATCACGCCACTGCACTCCAGCCTGGATGACAGGGCAAAACTCTGTCTAAAGACCCCAAAAGAGGCTGGGTCCAGTGGCTCACACCTGTAATCCCAG